GCACTTACAGTAAGGTGTGCAAGCATGTCGGCAACTATGATGACAACATTACTTGACTGGACAAAGAAGATGATAACCAAGATCTGAAAAGAGGTTTACAAATCATCCATTAATTGCAAAGATACACATACCACAGCCAGGCAATAGATACCGCCAGATTCTATTACCAAAAACAAGGCGCCATAATATCGAGGTCCATTAACAATAACATCGACACAGAGTCGCTTCATTTTTCTCTGATGCAACCTAAATTATCAATAATCAATTCATGGAAAACAAGGAAATCAAACATAATGAACATCGCAGGGTACTGACCATGTCTTGAGTGAGATCACTACAACAGCGTAGAGGTTGGTAAGGAAGCTGAATCCACCGAATACTGAGAACCAGACAGTCGTGTTATTGCTAAAGTTTGGCTGGCCAGGAGGCGAAAGTGAGAACTGGTAGACCATTACGCTTCCAGTGACTACAGAAATCCAACAGGGAACGCGGGAACAGTGAAGAGAGACAGTAAAAATGATACTCTCATCAGCATCAGAGTAACAGGAAGATTTATTCCAAGCTTACCGGCGCTCCCGACCATGAGAAAACAGGGGAAGTAGATTATCCTCCAGTCGCGTCCCCAAAGAACCCATGTACGCCATGTCACTATTGAATCACCAAGAACGCACTGGGTAAAGTGAGTATGGGATGACCGGACTCGGGAGGATACTGTAACAAGAGTACGTACATTGATAACCTCAAAGGCAACTTGGCCAAAGTATAACGGGGATCCCTGGTCATCATACAAAGTCTCTCCACCATCGGCCGCCTTTTGTACGAAAAGTGCTACCAGATTCATGCGCACGGAGAGTGCAAGATGGACAGTGGATATGCAATACATAATTACTGTTAAAAGTGTCATGATAATGTTGGTTATTTCTTTCCTCTTGTGCCTTCGCCTATGAAGTTTATTCAGCAAATAAGGACAACATCGACCAAGAAATTAACCCACAAAAGCAGATACATTGCGCCGCAAAACAAAGTCGTATACATGCCTAAATTCAACGAAAAACTAGTCAAACGCTGGTCGCAAAAGGAATTCTAGAAGCTGAGAACGGACCGTGAAAAATCCCTTCGCAGAAAACTGATAGGAAATAAGATTCCGAAAGAGACAGTTCACCAGCTGACATGGTAAGGAATATGAGGGTGTACGTCGACCTGTGAAAGGTACGCAAACAGTGGGAACGACGGGGGAATCTGTGCGCTAACTATGCGCAAGTGGAAGATACTTATGTGCATGCTCAGCGCTCAGTCAGCAAATACTTTCGTAACAAGATAATCTTAGCCATGGGTATCGATTCGGAAGCTATAGATGGAAAAAAGAGGAACACCGAAAGATCTGGTAGAAACTGCCTTCATGACATCGCTCTTGGTGAGTCATGATTCATTCTCGCCACTAGATAATTTAAGCAATCAATGGCAGTGAGAAGTCAACGATCGGAGGAATGAGAACGAGATAAAGTAAACGCTCACCTTATGCTGATTCTGTATGACCAATATTCTTCACGCCAATGCTCCTGTTTAGAGCTTAGAAGAAAGGCGCAAGTTTTGTGCAGACAGTGCTACCGCTATCTTGGAAAAGGTACTATCCCCGTTCATGAGTATGAGAGACAAGAAAAATTAATTAAAAATTGCTCGTCTTGCTGTGAGGAAGAGCTAGCGGCTTTAGAAACGCAAAACCAATAAGAGCAAATTATAATTATCAGACTAGGGGAAGACAAAGATCAGAAGAGCACCCTATGGAAGGTACCACTACTAGTCGCGTGAAAGAGTCCTGCGTAAAAATCGGGGAGCGGGTACATGAATGATTAGATAAGCAATGATTAGATTCTTCCGCTCATTCTGCCCTCCGAGGCATGAAGAATAGAAGAATCAGTCAAAATGATCATACTATATCACTATGGCTCACATACTATTCCTTATGTTGGAGCTCGGAAGCATGTGTACCTTGATGATCCACGGACAGAATCTGATTATCGCTTGCAAGTTCTCAAGACGGATCATCCAATTATAATCAAGCGCTTTCTGATTCTACATTCCTCGTCAGACTCCCTGCTTTGGTATTAAGAAACCACCCACGTTCCAAATTTCAAAATATACCAACCAAATGCTACCTGGCACCACTCGTACTTCGGCATCTATCCGTCTCGCAGACCCCAGCGAATATTCTGCTGTCGCTCAAGTCCTTACACGAGCCTTCGCCCACGATCCAGCATTCAACTGGTATGGCAACGTCAACTTACGGCCAAACTCATATTCCAAAGCTAAATCGCCGTACAACTGCGCTAAAGTTGATGAGCTTAAGAAGAAAACAAGGCGAAATCTCCAATTTTTTCAAGAAGCTGTGATAAACATGACCATTATCTGTGGGGGATATGTTGTCGTCGCTGTTATTCCGGCCAGTCTGGCCAGGAACATTATGAACATTACGATTACACAAACCTTGCATTTAGTATCGGTGTCACCCTTCGTGCCGGGTTCTATCAAGCCTCAAAAACAAATCTGATTGATATCCTTCGCAATTCGCAGAGAGACTTCCGCCTGTCATTTCACGAACTTTATCAGAGTCGAAATTTGAAGAGGCCTATTTCAACTTACAGTCTATAGCTGGGCGACTTTGGAACTTTGAAGCACGCCATCTTGAACGCCTCAACTGTTACCGCGTACACTGAGCCGCCCGTCGATTCCTGACCTCTGTGTATGTATAGAATATTTGTTCAGAAATGCCACACAGAAAGAAAACATTTTAGGGCAGCACCGTTCCTGGAAGTATCTAGCAATTGGAACTCGATTTAGTATATAGGGTCCAACTTACTAGGCAATATGCTCATTAAGTGTGATATTCTGCGTGGAACACAAGATGGGGTGAATTTACGTTAAGAATGGATATTTACTCTTAAATCAACAACCTACTTTTAACTTGCCTTCTACAATGTCTGCAATATTTTTTTGAATCCTCTAAGCCCGCCATTCTATTTGCCTTCTGGTAGTATTCTTCTAGCATGATTCCTCCCATAACCACACCTATAACCTCCTATAACTACTCCTAGATGTTCACATGACTCCTCACATCCCCATCCTTCCCTTCCACCTCGGCATCCCCACCGTTTCTCTAATATTTCCCATACCCGCAGATTTCCCTCCTTCTCCTCCAGCCCCGTCCAACCAAAGGACCAACCTCTCGAACCCCATCCCGAATCCTCCATGTGGGACAGACCCGTGTCTGCGAAGGTCGAGGTACCATTCGTAGGGATTCTCGGATTTTGTAGACGGAGAAATAACGGGAGAAGTGGTGGGATCGATGGCGGCAGCGGAGGAGAAATCGAGAGCGGTAGTCGAAGACGAAGGCGGAATCAACCCGACCTCGACCATATTCCTCTTCAACTCCTCGTACCTCTCTTCTCTCACACTCCCTCCCACGAGTTCACCGACACGAGGAACGAGTAGGTCGAAGCACGCGACAGTTTCTAATAATTGAACATGGTCGACTTTATCAACATTGCTCCTCATATAAAATGGCTTCACCCCTTTCGGATAATCCAACACAAACACCGGTCCCATGAAAACGACCTCCGCGAGATATTTCTCATGTTCAGATTGAAGAGAATGTCCGATTGTAGGTGGATAGATAAACAGACGCTGCGAAGAGTTTTGTTCAACTTCAGCTTGTTGTAATATCCGTATAGCTTGTGTATAAGTAATTCTAGGCCAAGGTTTCTCGTCGATCGCTGCTCGACGTAGCTCGTTGAATGAATTTCCGTCTTTTCGTGATTCGGTGGATTCAGGAAGTTTAGGAAGGACACGGGTGAGGGTATACCTGAGCATGTCTTCAACAAAGGTACATAGACCGTTTAGGTCACGAGAGGATGTCGAGGCCGATAATTCAGGCGACGAGTAAGAAGAAGGCAACGCCCACTCACACTCCAACATCCAAAATTCTGCTAAATGTCTTCCTGTCATACTTCTCTCAGCTCTGAAGCACGGAGCGAGAGTATATACTCTGCCTAGCGCAGCCTGGAACGCTTCGAGATGAAGCTGAGATGATACCGTCAGATGAGCTGGTCGGCCGAAAAACTCTTCCTCTTCACCTTCGTCGTCTCCTCCACGATCTGTCTTGGGAATCCTCCCAATTCGAAAACTCTCTCCACCACCTTCTGCATCAATACTTGTTATGACCGGTGTGTGAACATACATGAATTCCTGTTCGCCACTAAGATACGCCTCCAGTGCTTCTTTGACTTTGGCACGTAAACGCATAGTGTGTTGCATGGCAGGAGTACGAAGACGGAGATGTAGGTGGTCACGGAGGTATTCCACGGAATGGGCGCCGGAGGTCGACGACGACGGTGTAAAGTGATGCGACTGTAGTGGATACGTGTTCGGATCGCATTTACCCAAAATTTGAATTCGCTGTACTGAAGAATCCTCCTCTGTAGCCTCAACAAGCAACTCCACATCCTGCCCAGGACCCGTACTCTCAACCAGCTTTCCCGTAAGACTAACTGCAGTGCCAAATGTCAACTGCTTGAGCTTGTCCACCCTAGCTGCGTTCATCTCTTCACGTCGAAACCCATGCTTGAAAACAGCTTGAAGCCCTCTAGCCGTGCTTCCATCGTCAATCAACGCGAATGTACTCCGTTTTTGACGTCGTATGGAACGGACGTGGCCGGTTATTGTTGTTACAGAAAAAGTGGTGCTGCCCTGTTCCAGCAATTGCTTGATCGTACTCGGCAGCCTACGAACTGCCACTGACACCATCGAATGCGTTTTTCAAATCCTGTGTTTAAACCAATTATCGGAGAGTGCAATTAAATGTAATTGTGCAGTGGTTGTACGGCTAGATCCTCATTCGAACTCAAAAAGGTAGCGCGTCCAGTTAGTGAAGAAACAAACCAGAAGAAAACTTAAAGAAACTGATGGGCAGAAAGAAGTAAAATCAATTCACAAAATAAATAAACAGGTCTAGCCAGGACTCGAACCTGGGTTATGGGAAATCTGCTCCTGATGATCAGAATCCCATGTGATAACCTCTACACTACTAGACCATATCGTTGCAAAAGAAATAAGATAATCAGAAGTAATCTTCTTGAGGATTTTTGTCTGAATTGCATGCATTCCGCGTCTCTTTTCTTTTCCTCCTGATCCCCACCGAAATTGCCTCAAGTAATCGTTTCCTTCACCTTTTCAGTCAATTCAGTTTTGGCTTGTTAAACTGATAATCATTATCTGAGCTCTTTTTGAATTTTGTGGTCTTTATCATAGGATTTCTAAGGTGGTATTATCTATTCATATGTATCCCGTTTTCCTTGCTTGCACATCTAACACCAGCAAAATCTGTTAAATGTATCAATCTCAAACAGAAGATTCACAAATAGCAATCAAGCACACGTGCCTTTCATTGAACATCCACTCAATCTCTGAGCTGTTCTCAAAATCCATATCTGCACCTGCTTCCGATCCATGTCCATACCACTTGAACGCTGGAAGATGCTCAGGTCTCTCATATTCTTCCTCCTCCCCAAAAGGCACAAACCACCGCTCTGCACGCCTATACCCCACCTCCTTTATATCCGTAGGAAAATTCCATATTTCGATAACCTCGATGTCATATTTGATAGAATATTCCCAAATCCCTTGCAAAATCCCTGAGATGCGACATTCAACTCGTTCAGGCTGTTCAGAATGGGTTGCACAGTGTAAACGCGTGACAACGAGTGTCCGAGGAGCAGACGGACGAAGCTCAAGTGTCCATGTCGCAAAAGCCTGGGCCATACTCAGATCACTTGTACACTCGTTTGCAGGATCAATAAAAACGACACCCCAATGAGCAATATTCTCTTTTTCCCAAAAATGCCGGAGTCGTTCGCGTTGGAAAGCTTCTACCCCGCCAGATGGGAGAAAGGTGAATAAGGTCTTTGGTTCCGTCGGGGGAGCAGAGGAATGATCAAGCCAGCGGGCACGAAGATCATCTGGCATACGCTTGGCATCGTGTATGCAGAGCTGATCTACCTCTTCATGTGTTAGCCAATGCCACTGGCCCGTGAAAGCACTATCAGTATACATCAATGAATCAACGTTTTTCCTAGGACGCCATCTCGTGGTCCTCAACCCTCTCACGACCCACCCATTCTTCTTTTTCGTAGGAACTGCACAATCAGGACTACACCATTCATAAAAATCACCTACATCACTCCATAGAGCAGAAAATGTAGCATTGCCCATTTCAGAAGGAGCTACTGGCTTTGAGCCCCAGACATCCGAAGGGAAGGAATTGAAAGGCAATTTATTACCAGCTAAGATCCAATGTAACAAACTCATCATCAGACGAGCGTAGCCTTTTCCGCGATTCGAAGGAGGTGTGAATACAGATGCGATTCCGTAGCATTCGACTTGCTCTATCCAGGGCTTCGGATCAGAGGGAGTGTTGGGGTTTGTTCTTGCAGATAGTCCATCGCGACGAAATCTAGGAGGTTATATGGAATTTCTTTTGGTACAACCGAGAGGAAGCTTAAGGCGCGTACGGACATTTCACAAGAACATAGAAAATCTAGTGCACTGGGATTAGTTCGAGGCGCAAGGACCCTAGGCAACAAGAGGAAATGTATTGATGGATACAATCAACTTGAGTACGAATTCTTACCAAGTCATATACTTCCCATCTCGCCCACAATCGGATTTCTCCAAATCCATATCACGTTGTACGTATTGATCCAAAGTCATTCCGTTTCCCCAGTCTGAACTCCCCGTCGCTCGTCTGGATGCTTCAGTTTGCCTCGGTGTTGCTGGAAATATGGAAAGTGTGGATGGATCCATATGTACAGATTTAGAGAGTATATACAATACAGGATAATCGAATTGGCCGTGAGAATTCGAGTAATCTAAGGTTAGGGTTCTCGAAAGCTGTTTCTCAATCAACTGCTGCTTGTACAAGTACCCTGATCTTTCTCCCTCACGGCTCACAGAAATATTGGACAGCTTCGCGCGCGACTTTGAAAGAAGAAACTCTTCCGGAATTTAAGCAAATAAAATCTTCAATCAAGCCACGCAAATTCCTGATCTAATCTAGATCTCTTTTGGAAGCAAAAAATGAAGCTCGTACGGTGAGTTCGCTGGTTGCATTGTTTTCTTGGGTCTTCCTTGGAAATGGTTTTCTTCTCGACTCTCTACTTGGCCTCCCGCTACTTTTCTTATCTTCCGCGCTGGTGCTTGGAACTGTCGTCCAAATAGGAATGTAGTTGATTGGGAGGTCCGCTTAGGAATTGACGCTCCGAGTAAATCATAACTGACCATGAAAACTGTTACTTCTGCGCTGGCATAGGTTCCTCATGAAGTTGAACAACGAGACGGTGACAGTCGAGTTGAAGAATGGGTCCGTAGTTCATGGTACTATCACCGGTACGCACTTCTTTGCTCCTACCCTGCGTTCGATATCTCACTCTATCTACCCACAATCCATCTGTCCTCTCCATCTTCAAATCGATTTATCAAAAATTCATCTTATTCACACAGGTGTTGACATGCAAATGAACACCCATCTCAAAACCGTCAAACTTACAACCCGTACCCGTGACCCCGTCTCGCTCGATACGCTCTCCATTCGGGGAAACAACATACGTTACTTTGTTCTTCCTGATGCTTTACCTCTGGACACCCTTCTCGTCGATGATGCGCCGAAACCTAAAGGCCGAAGGGGCGCGGAGGTTCCGGGAGCTAGAGCGCGAGGACGGGGTGCCCCGAGAGGAGGCGATAGAGGAAAGGGAGGAGGAGGAGGAGGAGGAAGGGGAAGGGGACGCGGGAGGGGACGAGGGTTCTGATTGGTATTCAATATATGTTAAACAGCTGGTAACAAGGCGGTCCCTCCAAATGCAGCGTGAGCGCCACTATGAGGATGGACGGGATGAATCCTTCTTCTGTCTGCTCAGGTATCGCTTTGTGATTCGAAGTGCAGACGTAAAACGGAGCATTGTCTTCATATTCTTGTATGGTATTCATGTGTCACGTGTATCACCTATTTACAATATCGATTTGTTCTTTTCCTTGTCCGTTGTTTTACAGTCTTTACATTACATTGTACTTGTGCTACCACTATAACTTGATGTCACGTTTGCTCGGATTCCCTGCCTGAGCATAGTTGCGTTCAGTGTTCACCGGCGTTCTACTGTTATTTCAAAGTGGAAGCGCGGGCTTACAGTACTAGGGGCACAAAGCGTCATATACCAAGCCGAGCGCCGTCCAATAAACCAAGAACAATGACTTCTCTTTGGGTGTAGAATCACCGAATATTTTAACAACTGAGCAAGTCTCGAGGTGAATCGAACACTCGCTGAAATATTCCCAAGTACAACGAAAGAGTGTGGGCTATATGTAAAAGATCGTGAACAAGTGAATCCGAGCGAAAGCAACTTGGATAGTATGTCAACAAAAGCGACGGCATAGCATAGAACGCGAGAAATATCAACAAGTGTCCTTCGGAGAAGGGAAAGCGGGTTTCAGAAGTAGTGTACGAAGCTCAAAAAGGTTTCAACAACGGGATTTCACCTTTCTTAACGGCTCGAGAGCGCAACTTCCACCAAGATGTTCTCTTGATGATTTCGAAAAACCTACTGGTGACTTCGTCCATGATCAGTCGCTCAGACGGTTCATCCGCAATCATATCATTGATCAGTGGTCTGAGAAATTCAAGACTATATTGTTGTAGATCAGTACAAAAACGAGATGAAAGAAGTTTCGTCTTTGATCCTAGAGTTCGTTAGTATATCCACCTGTATCTAGAATGTTAAAGGATTAGTTTTAATGATCAAAGATCTTGAAGGTCGTACCGTAACGGAGCAAATTGATGTTAAGGTCCGATCTAGTCAGTTATCAATAGTAGAGCTAATCGATACTAGAGAAACTGAGAAATACTTACCATTAGCAGAGCTTCGTCGATGCTAATAGAGTACTTTAAATGGCGAGTTCACGCATATGATGGAGGTTTGAGAGTAAAGCTAAAGTTCCTCTTATTCTTCTACTTAACATTACATTTTAAACCCCTACCGGCTACAGATACTTTGTACAGAAGTATCGAGAAAGTTCTTCCAGGTCGAGTCAAGTTGAATTGACTCATACCACTGCCGACTCCCCACACAGGAACTCGACAAGTTAACAAGTGCGTTCTATATTGAGGATGGTAAATCTCTATTCAAATGCATAGTATTTCTAATCAAGGAATACTCTCTGTCAAAGAAATCCATAACAAATCCCGCCCCAGAGTCTTACCATCCATCTTTACTCCTGTTACTAATTATCCCCAATGTACATCATTGTTATGATTGTGCACTGAGGGATCATCGAAATATGATCATGGGGTTAATCATGGGGAATGAAAAGTGAAGGAGAATACTTTGCAGGGGTTAATGATCCAAAGACATTAGTCAGACCTCAGCTCCACTATTAATGGAGTCCTTGACACTTTGCATGTCCGATAGAGAAGAAAGTAAATGTGTTCCATTCACAATGACCTTCTGTTAAGATCATGCAACTCTGGAATTGCATAATAATTGCAGAATAATTGTGATATAATGGCGGAATTTGGTGGGAATGTGAGGGAGTTATTCCCTCATAAAGGGAGGAATGATTTGCAGAGTTTCAGAGAGGTAGTTGGACATCAACACTACTATTAGTAGTGCCCTCAACATGTCAATGGTCCAATAGTAAAAGAAGTAGCAGCATCAGTTTGTGAAGGTTGCTTTGCAGAATATCAGAGCAGTGTTGAGAATGTATCATGGAGAGTGAACATCTGTAATATGAGGAGGAGCAGATCTAAGTCAATATGAAAACTACAGAACTACCTATTCAATACCATAGCTTTATATTATGCATTACATAAGCATTGTGAAGCAATACTAATTACAAATAGACTAGCTTGTAGAGTAAAGAACAAAGGAATGATATAAAAGGAATAGTAACTCATCAGATAATGATGAGGAAAGATACCAAAGGATTCCTTAGCATGGGAACTCTTTGTGAAGGAGTTAATTGTATTGTGGAATCTTGGAATAACTTG